AGGGCCCAGGAGCACTGGGCGCCGCGTGCTTTCTGAATAAAGGCTCTTTTCCACGCTCTGCGTTAGCCCTTGGCTCTGGCTGTGAATGTAGGGAGGGGATGGGCTGGGGGGAGGTGGTTGTGGGAGGATGCTTGCCAGGCTTGGAGGTGACTGGCAGTCAAGGAGGGTCCTCCAGCCTGGGGAGCTCCCAGACCCCGCACCCACGCGTGGCTCAGCCCGTCACCGCCCCGGGGAAGGTGAGAGCCCCTGCAAGGGGGGTGCAGGAGCCCACCAAGCGGGAGTTCCCCCCATCTCCCGGCGGTCTGGCCCCACACGTGGCGAAGGTTCCTGGTAAGCAGAGCCAAGCCCTCTCCCCGTGGAGGGCTTTACCGCACGGCCTGCGTGCAGCCCTGCAGAGCTTTAGTGACCATTCCCCACCCGTGCCCTCGCACCAGCCCTGACTTCAGCCGCCGCTGGAAAAGGCAGCAGGAGGCCTGAGGTCACCCCGTTTCCTCCCGGGCTCCGCTATTTCTTTCCTGAATTTCACGCAGGATGGTGGGACCAGGCTGGGGGGCACAGCCCTGGTTCCTCCAGCTGCAGCCCCTGGGGTGCTGATTCCCTGCTCTGGGCTGTCCCTTGTGTTGTTTCCAGCCGTTCATCTGGATTCAGGCTCTTCTCGTGCTTTCAGCCCCTGTCTGGCTGTAGCATTTTTTTTTTGCTGTCCCAGTTGTCTGCCCACCCTGCAGCTCGGCCCCCTTCTGTGGACTGCTTAGAAATCACCCAAAGCACCAAGGGGCCCTGGCTACAAACCACCCCAAAATATGGACCATTGGCTTGCAGTGCCCGATCACCACCTCCACCACTGAGGGTACCCCGCCTTCACTGCCAGCTTCAGCCGTCACTGGTGTGACTGGGACATAACCAGTTAAAACAGGTTGAAGACTGGGATAGTTTGGGGACCAGCTGCTGTGGCTTTATGGGCAGGCAAGGACACGGTAGTCACTGGAATCTTTGGGGTTTCACACAGCACCTCCTGCTCTGCTGCGTCCCACCAGGCTTGGTTTGAGTTGCCAGAACACACGCGATGACTGCCACGCTCGGGCTCCATGGCTCCCACACGCCGGGAGGAAGGACCGCAGCAGGCTGGCAGCCGCGGCACCAGAGCCTGGCTGGGCTCCCGCGCCAGCCCCGCGGGGGGGACCCCAACCCGGCCCCCCCAAGGCCAAG